CACGCTTGTTCATCAAATATAATCCACGAGGCACGAGGAGTGCAAGGAGAACGTTTCAAACTTCAAAGGTCGAGAGTTACATTGTGGGAACTCACCTCTATATGCAGCTCCCGCTCAAGGTATGCCAAAAGAGGACGGATACTTATTTTATCAAAAGATGTTGTGGAATGACAACATTGACATGATCGACCTATCAGGGGACTTGACGTCGTGCCATGAGGAGCCAGAAGCTTCGACGAATGAGATCAAAGCTCCCCAAACCCCGAAAGTCGAACGGTAGGGGGTCTTAAACCGGTTCGACCGGGTTCAGCTGGGGGCTAGGGGTTGAACCGACCCCCTCCATTTTTTCGTTGGGCAGGAATGTCCCCACCCCCCTTTACTTTTCTGTTTTCCCACCTATATATCCATTATAAATAGATATGTTTGTTGAATTAGAGTTAGATTATCGTGAGTTTATTTAGAGTTATGTATCCGACAGCAAGAAAGTACTCCGACTGTAATTCATCCCGAGGAGGTGATTTTATCTTTTCTTGTTCATTTTTTTGTTGCCTGTCGCTCCATCTGCTGCACCCCTCTCCCGCAACCTCTCCTGTTACACCTACTGCAGCGCATCTCTCCTTTCAGCCGCCCCTATTCAGCCAGCAATTCCACTATCAAGCCATCTTCCCAACTGCAACCCCACATCAGTCTCCAACCTGTTGTAATTCCCAACAACCACCCATATCCAGGCTATAATTCCACCACCGGGCTCTCTCCCAATCGCAACTCCAGCTTAGCCTCTAGCTTATCGTAAGACCCTATCAGCCTCCCCTATTAAGCTTTCAATCCCACCCCCTTCCCAACTGGAACTCCACCTCAGCTTCCAATCTGACATTATACCCTACCAACCTCCCCTGTCCAGCCAATAACTCCCCTATCAGGCCCTCTTCCCAACCTCAACTCCACCTTAGCCTCCAACCTGTCGTAACCCCACTTCCACACCCCCCACTCCTCAGTCGTGACCCCTTATGCTGCCACCTCCTTTACATCCATGACAGCCACACTCACATTCCCCTCTTTCCCAACTTGCTGCCCTGACCGCACCCCCACCAACACCCATTTAGTGGGCCCTCTCACCACAGTCCACTTGCTTTCTTGTCTTGCCCAAGCCGAGGAGTCATGTTATGTTGTATTTTGTTGGATTTGAGTCTTGAACGTAACCATATTATTTTGAGTAATAATATTTGTATTTCGATGTGTGGTTTGGGTTACTCTGGTATCAAGCATACCCTTGAATAAGCCTTTATCAAACAAACCATAGCACTTTACATCTAACATTAAAAAGAAAAAGTATCACCAACCAGTAAGTGATAGGACAATCAATCAATGTGATAAACCAGCACATTGTTGGATTGGTCTTCTTTAACCATAAATGAAAAGAGTTTATGCATTATTCGCTCTGCAAAATGATGATAAAACGTGCCTTCATCATTTTTAATGCATTTAAAGTGTAACCCATTCTTTGCAAAGCGATGTGCAACCTTACCACTTTGATCCATAATGCACTTAAATCATGCAAAATGTTGCAATTCTAACAACACTGGCTAGGGCATGTTTTAAAAATGTAAACAAGCATGAATTTACTTATCATTCATGAAGCTTTAAGAGGCCAAGCATAAACTCTAGCAATATGATGCCAAAATTCGGAGATATTATGAGTTGTAATTATGGTAATCCTATAGGGGCTACTTGGTTGCAACTAGAATTTAGTTTAAGTAGGATTTATTAAATCCTGTAAATCCGGATTTATCAAATCATGATGTGGTTAAATCCTAAAAACTGTTTCGCATGCTAGTAAGTAAATATTGATAAATCATGAGAAATTATTTGGTGGCTTTAAAAGAATTTAGTATGATTTATCATGATTTATTAAACATACAAAGATAAATAAAAAATAAAAAATATATATAATGAGCATTTAAAGCCTCAAAATATATTAAAAGAAGTATTTACATTAATTAATATTAGTTCTATAAATTAAATTATTTTTTAAAACTAATTAGTTATTAGTCAATAATTTAATATTAATCAATTATTAATTATATAAAGTAAATATTATTTAGAACTTTATTAAATAATTTAAAATTCAAAATATATTTTTATTTATTAATTAAATATTAAATAATTACATATACATTTATAGAATTATAATTAATTTGATAGTATATAAATTATTTATTAATTATTAATCAATTAAAATAATAAAATTAAGTTGAATAAAAATAAATTAAAATCACAAACCTATCTTTCTATTCATTTGTCTGTCTGAAACCTTCTCTGAGATCCTCCCCCTCCCGGTTTTGCCCAAAACATCTCATATCTGCACAAAACCCTCGCTTATGTCACTCCCCTGTTGGTTTCTCCCAAAATCATTGCCTTCTTAAACAAACCTTCACCATACAGTCGTCATCAGAGCTAGCTGGGAAGGAAACGACGAGATCACAACTTATAGAGACCACCAAAACTCCTATCTTTCTTATCCTTCCTCTCCACTCCTACCAGAAACCATTGAGAAAGGTAAGCCTTTTCACGCCATTATTACTCTTGGCTCCTACCGGATTTATTAAATCCACCGATTCACATGGGTCGTTTTGGTTGCAAGTAGAATTTAGTTGAAATAGGATTTAGTAAATTCTGTAACTTCGGATTTATCAAATCCTGAAGTGGTTAAATTTTAAAAACTGTTCGGCATTCTAGTAGGTAAATAATGATAAATCCTAAGAAACAGTTTGACAATTTTAGAAGGATTTAGCAGGGTTCATTAGAGGGAACATCCAAAGATAAATATTAAATAAAAAAATACAAATGAATATCCAAAGCCTCAAAGTACATAGAAAACTATCATTTAAATTAATTAATAATTAATTATATAAACCAATAATTAATAAATTTTGTGCATACGAATTAATTATTAAATAATAGCTTTATATTAATCAATTATTAATTAATTATTAATTACTAATTATGTAAATTAAAAATTACTTAAAATTTTATTAAATAATTTAAATTTAAATATATATTTATTCATTAATTCAATATTACATGATTACATATAAATTATCTAATTATTATTAATTTTAACATATATAAAGTAATTATTAAAAGTTAATATGTTAAATTAATAAAATTAACTTGAACAAAAATAAATTAAAACGGCAGCCTAATTTCCCTCTTCCCCCTCTGTCCAAAACCCTAGACTCCATCCTCCCGCTCTCCCTCTCCCAGTTTCGCACAAAACCATCGATTTCATGATCGAAACTTTGCAATACACTCACCATCATAGCTAGTTGGGAAGGCAGCGATGTGATCATGGCTTATGGAAACTACCTAAACTCCCATATTTCTCATTAGTCCACTCTGCTCCTTCCAGAAACCATTTAGAAAGCTAAGCCTGTTCGCACCATTCTTCCTCTTTGCTCATGCCGAATTTACTAAATCCGCTGATTCACACAGGAGTTAACAAATCCCAGATTTATCGCGAATCGGCATCATTTTGGGATTTACAGGAGTTCAGGATTTAGGGGGCTTTTTTTGCCATTTGGTAGGATTTAGCTTAAATCCTGCGTAAATCCTGCATAAAACCGGCTACCAAACAGCACTGTAAAGTGCTGCTTTAGATGAAATGCAGCTAATAGAGCTTCCCATTTACATTTTTCCTGTATGTGCCAAAGTGGCAAGAGAGAAAAGATATGATTCATTCTCCCTTATTAAGTGAATTATGTTTTAATCTTTGTGTCATTACAAATTTAATAATGTTTTGAGGAAGGTGATTAGTGATGTTTCTTTAGTGAGCTATTGATGGTTATGCATTGCTCAGCCTAACAAAATGCTGAAAGACTATCCTAACAATAAGACAATGCATTTGATATTAAGATAAGCTCAATGCATTTGCACACTAGTATTTGTAGATCTACCAATTATGTACCATAATTGAATACTAGAAATAATGGAGGAAGGTCTGGAGCAAGATTCTCAATAGATGTTATGTTGCATCATCAATAACGATTGAGAAATGCTTAGCTTGGGTAAAACAATTTTTTTTATTTTACATTTGAATTTTTATTTAAATATGTATCAGTGGCTCTTCCTATTAGCTCTTAGTGTTTTTGTAGAGCATATACTCATGATTATACTTATCATTTCCATATAAAATAAGGGATGGTATTAAATTTAAAGATATTTGATGTACTTTCAAACAATTTGGAATAAATTAAGTATAAGTGTGAGTGGGTGATGTTGGAAAATGGGATAGTCATATTAACGATTCAACCCGTACCCGTGAGGCAGCCATTACTCAATCCATCCAAATTGAACTATAAACTGGCAAGCCCATACACCAATTTTTTTAGTGTTAGTCTCTTCAACCATGAACACTTGAAAAATGAAGGTGTGTTTACTTCAAAAGGTACTTATGTAGAGAAAAGGCCCCAAAAATTAACACCAAACATGGATTTTTTTGCATAAATTAGGCCTGCCATGAACAACATACAAGTGAAGATGATCATAATCCAAATTTCTGACACACAGAGTCACATTTCTTTAAAATTTTAACACAGCCAACTAAGGGATTATGTATATAGCATAGAAGAATGTATACGGCCTAGAAGTGCAGCAAACTTGCTCCACGTAACTCGTAACTGATGCTATGCATTCATTCCTCAATCAAACTAAAGCCAGTAAAGTGTATTTGGCCAAGAATAAAGATTTTAAGTATCTTGTGTCATATTCCATACCAGGAAAACAAATCTAAGTAGATAAAAGATTGCAACCAGCCAAGCTCAGTTTTTCTTTTTCTTTTTTTTTAATACCCCTCATTGTAATTGGCAGTCATAGAAACAAGACTCAAGTCATGAGCTAAGGTTTTGATTGCCCAACTGCAACATGACATATGAATGACAAGTCTGACCTTATTTGCAATGAGGATGAAACATGAGTGAAACAAGCATACATTGTTTTCTCACCTGTAGACCGACCAAAATGCAATCACCAAAAACTAAAAGAACATTCAAAGCACGGTTTTTTGATGACACGCTGCTTCTATGCTTATCGTATGCCCTTGAAATAGTCCTAGTGCTTGGAGACACCAACTTGGAGTGGCAAACACTGCATTCTAGCATCCCGGCTTTTAGCATTCCAAACCTTCTTAGAAAGAAAAGCCCACAGATACTGCAGCCTAGACAAACAAAATCAATAGAAAATGTGTTAGTTAGTTAGTTAAAGATTGTTCCAAATATCCAAAATCAACTTCGGCTTCATGAACTGACACATAAAATTCTAATCCACTATATGTATTAATTACAAGATAAACATTAAGATCTTCAAAACCAACTTGTACTTCATCAACTAACACATAAAAGTCTATGTCATTAAATATATTAAATTCCAAGATATACATTAAGATATTCAAAATTTCAAAAACAGTATGTCAACAATAGAGAGGTCCTAAAGTTCAAAAGCTTAGAAAGCAACCCTCTACTTTGCTAATGCATTCTCCACTGCATTTGGGGCTGTTTGGTTCGATTTCTTAGTGGTGTACTGTAAATCAAATACCTTAAGTTAAAAAAAAGTTGAAGTCTGATATACTGTAAAAGAAATGCATTGTGAATTTCTAGGGTACTTAAAATTTACCGTAAGCTTCCTTTTGCATGTAAATTAAGTTTGCCCAAATCGACCGAAAAAGGAAGTACACCGCACTACAGTTACTCTCACTTCTACGAAATCCCTTCATCTCCTATGAAATCCTTCGGTGACCATAGCGAACACAGCCCTTTTTAGCTCGGATGCTAAACCTGCTCACAAAATCCCTTCTCCCGCGAAATCCCTTTGCCTCTCGGAGCGAATGAGACGCGCAAGTTTGGAGGGTAAAACCGCTAGCGAAATCCCTTTGCCTCCAAGAGCGAATGAGATGGCCAAGCTCGGAGTTGGAACCCGAACATCGAAGGTAAGTAAGAAGATCAAAAGTTCCATCTTCTTTCTTTATAAGCAAATCATACATCAGGCTGGCTAATGATAATTTTGTGTAATCATACTGTTGCAACATCTCTAAGATGGTCATTATTTCGAGCAGCAAGACATGCTAAAATGTATGTACTGATCGAGATGCAAAATGGCATTTCAAGTTAGCCCGACATTGATTCTTTATGTGGAGTTTGCAAGTCATGCCTTGTACTTATTGGAGATGATGTTAATGCTTGATCCATCCCAAGAATTACATTAAATTTAATTTTTTTTCTTTTTGTACGAGAAGTTGATCATACTTATATCTCAATTTTTGAGAAGTCTGAGTACTGAAGCACAATTATGCCAAGTCACAATTGGATGGAAACTTTCCATCCTTTGCCAACTTGGCTAGGAGCGACTGATGGCAGTACTATATTATACTGTATATTGCAATTATCATTTATTTACCGCTTATTATAGTATTTGTATCTTTGTAGTAGCTTTAATCAAAGACATAACGAAAGTGACTTGCTTAGCAGATAGAAATCCTTGCCTGACCCAATATTGTAGCTATTTGTTAACTGTTATCAGATGAAACTCATGCAAATATGTATAAACTATCACAAACATTCCTAGTCAAGTTATGAAAAGTCAATGGAATAATTTTTTCAATCACAAGGTATTGCATACCTTTCCTAGTTAAAAACTTAAAGATTGAATTTGTAAGTTATATGATCATTTATTATAGCGGGATCTACATGCATAACTCCCTAAACTTCAAATATTAAATATTTCACACCTAAACTTCAATTATTGCACCATAAATTCATGAATTTCCTACTGCAGACGTTGTTTCAAAAAAAAAAGGGGGTTCGGTTTTGTCTATCAAACTATGCTCATTCAGTAGAGTGTTTATCTACGCATCCAAGGCTAGCGCAGAAATAGCCGCAAGCCAAACAGATGCGGCAGACATTTCCCACAACCAACAGCAAGACTTGTAAACTAAAAATCCTTCGAGAGCGGTTTTATCTTTTAGATGCTAAATAAAGGAACTAATCAGTGGATGATAAAATTACTTCAACACCATTTACCACTGAATCCAATACTAAGCAAATAGGCGCTCAAAATCAGTTCACTCCTTCCATTTCAACCAAACGCTGCATCCCGACGCAAAAACCACACCTCGCACAGGTTGCTTGATTGCCCAACAATTCAATCACCTTGATGATATCAACCGAGATATTTTAATGGCATCGAGAAAGTAAAATCACGAGGAAACGTACCAGCAAATACAGCCGAATGAAGCAGATCCCCCTCGCGTCCTCAGAATATCAAGAGCGACCCTCACGAGCCGGAACACCGGCGGAGGATCTAGAGGCAAACGGAAGCGATCGAATCGGCGGCCTCTCGAAACCGTCCCACAGGTCCTCCGTGCCTTCGAAACTCCTCGAAAGAATGCAGATCGAAATACGAGAAAATACGGGAATTAGCGGTGGATCAGATCGGAATATTCTGATTTGGGAAGAAAATTTTGAACGTGGGGGTTGAGAAGAAGACGCCTGCACCCCTTTATCGGAAAAATATTGCCGTGCCTCCAGGCTTCAATAATATTTTATCACATATAAATAATATAACTATTAAAAAAATAAAAATAATTAAGATATATATATTGGGGCATGATCAGCCCGTTACCAGCCCATAGCTTCGAAACAAAATCCTACACGCCAAATCGACTTCCAATTTCTTCTATCGTCATTGGGTAGGATTTTGCAGAGCGATTTTCACAGCGATTTTAAGTAGCTAGGATTTATTTGTTTGAAATCCCTCGTACTATTGGTCACCGGATGAGAATCATTTGCAGTCTCTCTCGTCGGACGAGAAATTTTGATGAAGGAATCTAAAAATAATGGCGAGAAGTTTGAAATGGAGGTGATGGATCTGAAAATAAAAACGAGAAGTTTGAAATAGATGTGAGTTTAGCTGTGTTTGAAATGTTAACATTAATTTATGTTTATTTGATTTCTTTTGTACTCTGAATCAATAGTATTATGTTACTTTTTTTGTGTTTTTTGTGATGATTTTGTGGTGTTATTATAGAGTTATTATGGAGGTGATTTTTTTTGGTATTTACTGTTAATGTTGAATTTTTTTTGGTATTATGATTTTATTTTAGTAGTATTATGTTATTATTCTAGTGGTATTTTAATAGTTTATGATTTTATTAGATTGTTATTTTGATTGTATTGAGGTGGCATTAAGGTTTATTTTATTCAGTTTATGGTTGTTTATGGCAATAAGGTTTTATAAATAAATGATACTTTTACTTTGCAATATATAGTTGAATTTTAATAATTACCTAATATAGTGGTGATACATATAGGAACGGTTTGTACAATGCCGGTGATTTTATCTTTTTTTTTTAATATTACAAGTGCAAAACATCGACATGTTTGTTTGCAAACCAATTATTTTTCAGGATGTCATTAAGACCAAAACGGTAAACTTCCAAATGTCCAGCATTAATCATAATATCATCCATGTAGTGTTAAAAAATAATTTATGTTAGATTTAAAAATTAGAGTATTGCATAACAGAGAAATGTGAGCATATACTGACTTATCATTGTATCTCCTACAGCACCGGTCAATTATCTGTCGCATTTCAAGGGGTATTTTTTTTTTCCAAAAAAAGTTGACAACAATCTCAGCCGGATAAGACTACATAACAAAAAACTAATCATCTCTAATATCAACTTAAATGTTATGGTACACAATAACAAGAGTTATTTTTTCATAAAATACATTTGTCCATAATTATTTGCATAAACAATATATGTGTTATTGTCTTAGAGATCTCCCTCATCATCAATGATTATAATACAAACAAGCGTCTGGGATTCCATAACATCTTTTATTGTTGGTTGTTATGATAGTCCAATATTTACAAGTAACCTCTCACCCATAATAGCTGGAGTATCTTTGTCAATTGATTTTCGAACATCCGTTTGAACATCTACAAATTTTATTTTCCTCGTCTTCAACTCAAATGCAATGCAGGGGAAGTCACTTTTCTTTTCCTTCTATGTTGTCCGGCATTGACCCTCCAGATTATAGTGTCAAGGGATGATTAATATGTTTCTTTCTTCATTAAATTCTCGTTCAGTGTCATTATTCTATTTTCCAATTTATTAACTTCTCTCTTGAGCTCTTTAACTATATTTTGTAAATGAAGCGCTCTGCTATTAACAGATTCTTGAAATTCATAAAGATTTTTCTCTTGAGTTCTTAGTAACTTAATAACTTATTTGAAACCTTTATTGATGCCTATACGCCTTGGTTCTGGAGTGATGTCACCTAAAAGTAAAGGGATCATGCCAAATGAAACTGGTAATTTTGATGTTGAATGAGTTTCATCGGTGATGTATTAGAGAATTTTAACTAGGCTGGGTTGTTCCTCAATTGAAGAAGCGAGCATGACATACTCTTTGTCTTTCAAATCCAAAAAAAGAATTGTAAACCTACAACGATCCATAATTACAACCACACATGAACTGAATTTTTTAAAAAGAAAAAATTATCTAATGAGAGAAAAATCTGTATAGGGTTTCGCTTTTTAAAAGTTTAACGCTTCATGATGAGCTCCAACTCACATTTGTTGGTCACCCTAACATGAGAGGTCTAGCCTCTAGTGCAGAAATAATAACTAGAGATGCACGCTTATAAAATCAGAGTTGTGCAAAATTTAAATCATAATCTGCTTTGACAAAAAAAAGAAATTTTAAATGATATAAACATCATACTACCCTGAGCAAAAAAATAAATCCACTGATATATCTCGATAACTCATTCTGCCTTAATTTTGTGATGATGACATTCACTTGATTAATAAAAAATTCATGGATGGCAGCAGAGCAATTAAAAAAAGAATAACAATGTCACAAACGCATCACCAATAACACTCCAATAATAACTAAATACAATGTCAATAACACTGCCAAAAAAATACAACAATAACACCGTAAAAAAAATGTCAACATTCCAATACAGCATCAATAACAGCGTAAAAACATGTTGATACTCCAATACAATGCTAATAACACCGCAAAATGCTCTAATAACATCGCCACAAAAACTCTCCAATAACACAACAATGATGTTATTCACATGGTTTTAAGGTGTTATTACAGTAGTGCCATGTCGTTTTTTGCGACAGTGTTTTCTGGTGTTATTAGAGTATTATTGGGGTGGTTTTGCGTTGTTATTGAATAGGAACAACAGTTTTATCGGTGTTTGTTTGCGATAGTGTTCTTGTCATTGTTTTATGATGTTATTGCGATGTTATTGAAGTGTTATTGGACTAATTTTTTATTATTATTTTAGGGAAATGACTATGTTATTGGCGTGCATTTATGGCATTGTTATTATCGTTATTATCCAGTATTAGTAGGGTGTTATTGGTGTGTTATGTATTCTTTTTGTAGGAAAATCAGGATGTTATTAGTGTGTGTTTACGACGTTGTTATTATTGTTGTTTTCTGGTGTTATTACAGTCTTATTGGTGTGTTTTTATAGTGTTATTAGAGGGAAACCATAGTGTTATTTGCATGTGTTTGCGGTGGTGTTATTGTCGTGATTTTGCAGCATTATTGTGATGCTTTTGACATGGTTTTGCCGTGTTATTGAAGGGGAACCCCATTGTTATTAAAGCCATAGGAGATCACTTTAGAACCTTACTTTATAGCAGAGTTGTTTTACTTTTCAATAATTTGCTGACAGCGACTTTATATATGCTTAAAAATACAAGAATTTGACATCACTACTAGAAGATTTAAATCCCGGCAACGGCGCCAAAAACTTGATGCGACTTTTAATATGCAAGAATTTGTGAACTCACATTTATATATTTATAATGATTTTGTAAATTCACAATTTCAAATGCAAGTATGTGTATCGCTCAAGCCAGGGCTCTAGTGGAGTCCCGTTTATCAATCCCATAGGGAAGCGAGGTAAGAGGTCCTTAGTCAAATTATAATCTACTACAATTAGTCTTTAGTTTGGAATGTCGATTAAAATGATATTTTATCTAGCAACTACTCATAAATGCAAGGGTTAAATGTAAAGATAGTAACTATAACTAAATACAAATATTAATTCTAAAGATAACCCTTTTTCGATGAATTGGTTTGAAGAATTTTGAGATATTAAAAACTATTATTCTTATATAATGAATTGGATAATGTAAAGGAATGAGATGCATTAAATATTGTATGTGCCAAATAGGAGCAATCCTATTCTTTAC